AAATTTTCGCCGTCGATAGGATTTGAACACCCAACCTACCACTTGGAGGGTTGACAACCTGACCACTTCACTAGGTCGCCACACCCCTATAAAATATATATTAAGAAGTTTATTATATATATATATATATAAATATAAATAAAATTTTTAAATTTTAAAAAAATTTTATAATTATTAACTTTTTTATAATAAGTATTATTAATTTTACTATATAAAATTATTAATTTTTTGAAATATTATATTTATAATACCCAAGTTATATAACATCTATATAGTTTTAATTAGAGTTAGAATCTAGCTTTAAGATAAATAAGTATTTTTTATTATATAATATATATTAGATATAAGATCTCGATAGATCTCAATTTCAGTTTTTATAAGGTTTTTAGAGGTTCTGAACATTTTACTTAGAGTGCCTGATTCTGTTTACTTAGTATATTTTTGAGATATTATATAAGATATTATATAATATGATGTTATAAATACAATTTTTCTAATTTTTTATATAGTAAACTAATTTAAATAGATAATTTTCTTTTTATTATAACTTTTTTTATATAATAATTATAGTTAAAATTTTGCAAGTTTATACATAAAAGTTACATCAAGATACTTGTATAGTAGTACAAAAAATACTCAATTATGATTGGTTAATTTAGAAATATATTAAAAAATTTTTAAATTTGAAATTTTTTTTAAAAAATTGATCAACTTTGAGATTTTTTTAAACAATATGTAATCAAAAATTAATTTAATTTTTTTTTATAAATATATTTTATAAAATTTTAAATATTAAATATATTTATTTAATTACAAGTTAATATGTAAAATTTTATATAATTATATTTTAATTCAAATATATCAAGTTAATGTATTATGCTTAATAAGATAACTAATATTACAGAAGACTAATATCTAAAATATATTTAAAAAAACTAAGTAATAATTATATTTATAAAAGTTTATAATAAGAAAGTTTAATCTTTAAAGTCTATAAGAGTTATAATAGTATAGCATTATTAAAAATAGTATAACTTACTAAATATAACTAAAATTGTTTTAAATTAAGTAAATAATATGCTAAAAGCATGTATTATATAATAAAATAGTATTATTAGAATTAGTATAACTTTCTAAATATAACTAAAAATATATAAAATAAGTTCTAAATTATATTATAACAAATAGTACTAATAAATAAAAATAACACTTTATATTTATAATAATATTAAAATTTAAAATATTTGCAAAAATAGCAATATCAAGAATTTAACTTAAGATATATGCTACTATTCTTTAAATTAAAAAATTAATAGTAGTAATAGAATCATAACTTAAAATATATATTTATAACAGATTATAATTCTTTATAACAATCTAATAAAAATTGTTTTGTTTTTTTTTTATTTTTTATTTTTTATTTTTTTTTTCCCTTAAGCAATCATAGTAGTACTTTATTAAACCATTTATAGCTACATATATAAATACAGAATATTATTTAATTTATAAGTCTACCATCATCTGACTATCCAAATGGTATCTAAATGTAACCTGTCACACTAATCCAGTTAGAACTAGAAATTATGACTCATCTGACTCCTATCCTACAATAGGATACTACCAATCTGAAGACATCTTCTCATAAGGAAGAAAAAAACAAAAAAATAAAAAATGATTTTAAAGTTAAGAAAGGGTGGAACAAAAATAAGAAATAAAATAAAACTAAACAAAAAGAAAACAAAACTAATTTATAAAAAGAATAAAGAAAGAAACTTGCTAACAGAATAAAACTCTATTTTATAATTGCTGCTTGCTATAATGTTTTTATATTTTTATGGACTATGGCTATTCTCTAGAAACTAGGTACTCTTAACTAAAATGAAAACTGTATTTACTTGTAGGATAGAGTTTGAGCTAGGCACTTTTTATATAAAAGAAATCTTCAAGTAGGTGGGATATTGTGTCAAGATTTGGAGTGCATTTAAGCAGTCCAATTCTTTATAAACCTTTGTAACCCTTTTTTTTAAAAATATTATGCATATGGCCTCAGAATATATACATATCTCAATATATTTTTAGTCTTTCTGAATTAAATCCTTTTTTGATCTGCTCTATATGATTGACTAACTCATATGTTTGTTGTGTTCCTTATTTGGCATATTCAAATAAGCATATAACCACAAAAGAAAGTGATGCACAATGTTGATCTTTTGATGAGAGTGAGCCAAATCTTCATTTTTCAAAAAAAAAAAACAAAAAAAAGATGAAAAGGTGATATATTATTGTTGCAAGGATCCAAGTTAAGAAGAGTTTTTCTAATTGTTCTTCTTTTTCTTCTGCTTCTAATATTTTTAATCAGAGAACTAATTTTGTCTTTACTTGCTTTCAAAATATCTTTCCAGTTTAGATGCCGAATATGTGAGGAAGTTCATCAGACAAAAAGCTTGACCTAAGGCAAAAACCACTCAAGTTTTGTCTACTCTTTAGTGTATTATATACTTGAGCTTTGTTGACAACAAGTTTACTTAATATAAAACTAAAAATATTAACCACTTTGGAGTCAGAGTCTTCAATCTACTTTTAGTACCAACTTGGTCCAAGTAATCATTGGAAGAAGTTGTGAAGTGAAATATTAAAATTGTTTTATAATTAATATTATCTTATTAAATTTAAATTATCATTATTTTTTTTTAATATTAAGGTAAGTACTTGTGACTTAGAATTTTACTAATAGTATATTTAGCTAATAGTTGCATTACAACTACAGAAGACAACTATAGAAAGAGTATACAACTAGTTCCTTATATAACTTTAGTTATTGTTTAATTTAAGTAGTCTATCTAAAGATTCTACACTAGTTGTCATACCTGAAACCTATTTGTAAGTTTCTTATTTAAACACTCTAGTTTTTATATCCACTTACTTACTTATATTTATTAAGATGCTTTAATTAATACTAATACAAATATGTTATAATTATTTGGTTTTTAAAACAATTACTTATATAAGAACCTTTGACTTTGTACTAAATCTTCTAAAATTTTTTGTATTTTAATTTACAACTAATCTAATAATGCTATAGCTAAGACCAATACTTGCAATTAAGACAATTATTAAACTGTTATGCCTTTGTAAAGTTTATCTTAATCCTAATTCTAGTATTTACTTTACAACATATCTCTACTAGTTTAATATTCAGATTAAGTTTTACCAAATTCTTAGTCCAGATAGTCTAAAAGAATGATAACTAAAGCCATATACCTATGTGATATAATGATATAAAAATGTGATAATTATATATATTAATTATATATTGATATGTATATATATACAGTACATATATATTGATTTTCATGTACAATACTTGATTTCTTGTACATATATATGTCTTAACATTTTTTTATCAAAATAAAACACCTCTGCAAATAAATTTTACTATATAGCAAGGCTTCTTAGTATTTTTTTTTTAAACTTTTTTTTGTGCTTTTTTTTTTGTTTTAAGACCTTAAAATGAGACTGAGTTTATAATGCTTTAAGTAAAATTAAGGTTACTTGAGTTTATAATATGCTAAAACAAAATAGAGTTTACTTTACAAAGTCTTTTTCACAACAATACTAATATGTATGTTTTTTTTTTATTAAAAAGACTACAAACAAACTTTTTTTTTAAAAAAACCCTTTTTTTTCTTTTTCTTTTAAAAAAAAATTTTTTTTTTTTAACAATTTTTTTTTTTAAAAAAAAAACACTAGCTCTTTTGACATTTAAATATGAACTTAACTCCTAATCAGAAGTGCAATATACTTTTTAATCTTGATCAACTAGTTGAGGTTTTACTAGATGAGTTCGATAGTGAGTGGTAGCCTCTGATCTCAAATATTTGGGTTTAGTTCAATTATAAAATTCATATAAATGGAAACTTATAAAAGGTATATAATTGTCAGTTTACTAAACACTACAAATCAAGCATGTATAAAGAAGGAATACTAGTAGAAAAGTGCAGAAAAACTAAAGTCTGGCCTGAAAACTTATGTCTTGCTAAAATTAAAGTAACCAGATTTGTTACAGAGCTAAAAGTTCAGGTTAAACAGTATTAAGATTCATCCAGTTATATATACACACTAGAGGATAGTAAAAGACTCAAGCATTCTGAAGCTGTTCAGGTTTTAGTTAAATGAAATGCTATAAAAAACTATTCATCACCTATAGTAGTTAATACTATTAAAGAATTTGAAAGTATGAAATTAGGTCTTGAAAAAAGCCTTAAAGAATTAAAGTACAAAGAGGTTACTAATATATAGTATAAAGTTAAGGATCTTATGAAGCCCTCTTATTGATAATTCGAAACTAAAGCTAGATGTTCAGAAATCAGATGTTTTTTTAAAAAACTATGAATACCAAGTTAAATGTTATGAAGTTGCATAGCAATATACTTGTGGTTTTATTTTCATACATAATAGCCAATTAGAAAAACTTTACCATTTTGGCTAGCTGACTCTTATGAATTCCATCCACAAAACCAACAAGCACAATTGGCATTTATTTACACTGTATATTCACAATAGTTATGAGTATTGAGATGTAGGTTCCCATTTTTTTGTAAGCAATGAGGAAAGTAGCATTATTGCTCAAGTATTAAAAATAATTAAATGTTTTGAATGCTATTAGAAGCCCAGATACTTTCTTATTAATCAAAGTAGCATAGAAGCAAATGTTATATAAACATAGTTGAATAAAGTATATAATATAAAGACCTAAAATAAAATAATTCATGCTATGCATAAACAGACAATAATCAGTTGTGAGGAAGTTCTTAAGCAAGCAATTTCCAAGTGTTCTGTTCCTGTTATTAAAAAATACATAAAACACAATTATACTAAAAATATCTGCTATTGGGCTCTTAAAGCTCACCAGCATTTACCATTTCTCTTACAAATGACCTCCACCAACTTTTTAGAATCGTATCATAGTAAATTAAAGCAAATAAGCTCCCCTCATCATGGTTTGATTGGCATATGCAATAGAATTGTAATAATTGATACAAAAAAACAGTCAGATTCAGAATATGTAGGCTTTGAATTTCATACTAAAAAAATATCAGTAATTGGAATTAATTATAAAATTCTTGATGAAATTCATAAACTTTCTTACCCTGTACAAAAGTTGATTGTTAATGAGATTTTTGCTATTGAAAAAAGATTGAAGAAAGGTAAAGAACCCTTGGGCTTGATTTCATTAGAATGCTAATGTGTTTTTTTTTACTGCTATTTGCTTCTCTGTAAACATGTTTTTCATGATTATATTTACAATACCAATAAGCTATTAACCACTAATACTTGGATAAGATTTTAACAAATATTCAAAGATAGTAGGTTTGAAATAAATGAGTATCAAGAGTTAGTTGAAATTAAAAAACCAAAAAGAACAAAAGCTAAAAAAGTCACAGAGAATAGATGCATAATAGTAGATGAATTAATAGAATGAGTACATGATGCATACTGAAAGGTTGAGAAAGAAGGTGATGTTGAACAAACAAATACCTTTATTAGAGAATTAAAATTTCACTTAGAGCCTATGTTAATAACTAATCTAATTCATTAAACTGATATATAATATTTTAATGTTTATTAAAAATTTTTTTAACTTATAGATTGTTTATAATTAATTATTTTTTAGGAAGTAAACTTTAACATTTTTATAATGTCATGGAGTATCATAGAATAAATGTATAGAAAGCTATATTTTAGTTATGCAATATGCATAAATGGGTTCTTTATATAAGAACCTTTACATGATTGCACAAATAAAATGAAAAAAATATAATTATTTTGTTAGTTTGATTTACTAGCATAATTTTTGTTAGATTTAGATAAGGGCAATAAAAAAAATTTTTTTTAATCTCTAAAATTATATTTGATTCAAAATATTATTACTCTAAAAATGTAAATAATACAGATAATAAAAGAAACTTTGGTAGACCACAAGTTATTAGAATTTTCTTCTTTATAACTATATGCCTTTTATATATTGCCAGAAACTTTTGGCATTCCAATATTATATGCCCTTCAACTATGTTCTACTACTTAATTATTTTTATTTGTGTATGTATAAGAAAATTTATTAATTGGTAATATAAATAAAACAATTAATTCAATAAGCTATTTATAAATAATTACAATTTATTTCTTTTATTCACATTAATTTAGGCATGTATAAAGAATAAATCAAAAGATCTGGTCTGATACAAAAGACCCAGATATATTATATAGTAGTAGGCCAATGTCACAAAAAAGAAAAATTCTAAGTACATATATATTTTTTATTTATAAGCAATCTAGAAATTTAAAAAAATCACATTTAATTAATAGAGACTTTGTATTTTGTACCAGATACTTTGCATGAGGTATTGAAAAGGGATCTTATGTTTAGTGTACTATGAGATCATAGATTTTTACTATTTAATTTTATTTATATTTAGTGAATGATTGGTTATTAATCAATGTACAGTTAGAACTCTGTAAATGCACTGTCTGCTGTTGGAATTATAGAAAAAATTTTTGAAATAGTGCACTTAGAGAATGTACATTTATAGAGTAAAAATTATATATAACTCTTATGAGTTGTGACCAGACTATGCTGTATATTTAGAGTTTTTACTTAGTCTGTGCATTTATAAGCATGCATTTATAAAGTTCTGACTGTAGCTATTACCTTGCTAATTTCATTTCAGATTGAATTTAGATCAATTTTTTTATATATTTATTTATTTAAAATTATTAAAATAAAGTATTGCAATAATTTAGTTTGTCTTTATTTGAATGTCTAATAATTTTAAATTTTTATTCAAAATGCTAAAAATAATAAAACTTTCATTATTTATAGAACTAAAATAAAAAAAATCAAATTTTATTGAGTAGCTGAAATATCTTCGTTCAAAATTTTAAAAAAACTCAAAACACTTATGAAAATAATAGTTATGACAAAATTTTTTCAAAACTTTGAGCAAAGATATCTTGGTAATTACACAATCAAATTTTATAATTTTATTTTATTTTACAATATGTAGAATTAAAATAAAAAAATTATGGAATTTAGTTGAGTAGTTGTTGAGATATTTTCACTTAAAGTTTTAAAAAAATTTTGTCGCAGCTATTATTTTAATAGACAGTTTTGAATTGTTTAAAATTTTAAATGAAGTTATCTCAGCAATTATCTAATAAAATTTGGTGGTTATTTTTTTATTTTAATTCTATATAACTACAGAACCATAATAAAAAAAAGTTCATCAAATTTTGTTTAGTTGTCAAGATATTTTCATTTAAATTTTAAAAAACTTAAAACACATCTTAAAATAATAGCTGTGACAAAATTTTTTAAAACTTTATTTTTTATTTTAATTCTACAATATGTAAAATCAAAATATAAAAAAATTATAGAATTTGTTATTAAGATAAAGTTTTGAAAAAATTTTGCTACAACTATTATTTTAATAAGTATTTTAAGTTTTTTAAAATTTTAAATGAAGATATCTTAATAACTACTTAACAAAATTTGGTGAACTTTTTTTTATTTTGGTTCTGTAATTATGTAGAGTTAAAATAAAAAAATAATCACCAAAATTTGTTAGATAACTGCTAAGAAAACTTCATTCAAAATTTTAAAAAACTCAAAACATCTATTAAAATGATAGCTGCGACAAAATTTTTTCAAACCTTTAAGCGAAGATATCTTAGCAACCACTCAACTAAATTCTATATATTTTTTTTTTAATTCTATATATCTGTAAAATCAAAAAAAAAAATTCATTATATTTGGTTAGATGGTTACTGTGATATTATCATTAAAAGTTATAAAAAATGTAATTATTGATATATATTTTCAATAATCACATTGTGATTATTGATCTACGGGATTGGTCACATGGGTACATGGCTTTAGACGACCCCCTAATTGATTATTTGTTTAGCTAATTATTAAAAAACTGATATAAAAAATAACTAATTGATTAATTAGTCGATTAATTGTTAAATTAATTAGTTGGTTAATCGATCTATAAGATGAATATACTAATAAATAAATATGTTTATTATGTTCACAAAAATTATGTAAATGGATTTCCCTATCAAAAATCAACCAATTAAAATGAAAGCCCGCTATGCTCCTAGCATCTGTACTGGCACTTGTGCATTTTGTGCCTGTGCCTATAATAGTGCCTGGCATGCCATTAGTAGTGCCTGGCACATTGTGCCGTGCCTATAACAATGCCCGGCATTTGTGCCGATGCCTGTAATAGTACCTGGCACTTTTGTGCCTAAGGCATAGGCATGGCATGAGGCACTAGTGCCTGGCCTGGTGCCAATATGCCAGGCATGGGCATTTGCAGACCCCTAATATTTATTAAAATAATAAATAGCAGTTTTTATGAATTATATTTTATTGTACTGAATTACTTTCTACTAATAATCATTTGATGCTTAAGTTGATAATTCTCTAAGTTGCTCATAATAGAATGATTACGCACAATGCTATCTGTTTCTAGAAAGCCCAAGGAGAATATTCGTAAATAAGAGAAATGCAAAAAATACTTAATGCACTCACCTTTTAGTCCGTAATCTTTAAATACGACGAAGTTGTTAGATGGAATAAAATTTTCCAAGGAATAATGCTTTCTTAAAATTTAAGAAAATACTTTGATGGACAATCGTAGGCTAGCATGCATGACTCAGTTTGTTCATTTTTTAACATGAATTCGAACAGCTGTTTACCATAACCGGCTCGTTGAAAGCTCGCATGTATGTAAAAATCCAAAACACATAACGGTTCGATTTCATGCTGTATTCCTACATCATTATTTTTGCATTCGACTGGATATATTTAATAGATCAAAAATGCAACCTATTATAATAAATAATTTCTTGCTTCCAACTTTAAGAATTCTGATTACTTGTGTGTTTTGTTGATCCTTCATTATATAAAGATTATGTAATGAGTTTTTTAGTTTGGCAGCAGTTGTTACAAGATTTTTTAGGTTTTGAGCCTTAAAATTATAATTTATATATAAGAATGACGTATTTTGATAAGATACGAGGACAATGTAATAATATGAAAGTGAACCTTTGCTGATGCTTCACCATGGCATCAATAGTTAAACAAAGTTTTTTTCCCTTCCTTATCGTTTAAACAATAGGCCGTTTTGAGCTTACATTGCAATCTGATATTTAGGGTATAAATTTATGACGGGAATTATCTTACTTTGCATTTCCTCGGAATGCAACAAAGTCCCGCGAAGAAATCACAGAGTAAAAATGGGAAGAGCTTCTAACACGTTATTAGAAACTCCATTACGATTATTTCCAGCAAGGAAATTAGATCATTATATATTTGATAAAAATCGTGATCTAATCACGTGACTGATCTAAGCAATGAATCTCATATATAAGTTGATGAAATTCTTCAAGTTAATTTAATTTTCGCAAATTTAATTCCGAATTCAACATGTCACATTCTGAAGATAATCTGTCTGAAGATGAAGAAAGTCGTTTTGATGACACAGACGGAGGCTGGCACGATGACGAAGGTGGTGACGATCAATTAGATCAAAAAGGCGATTACGAGTATGAAGATCCTACAGGAGAGGAAGATGACGAAGACGAGGAAGAAGAGGAGGAAGAAGAATCAGGCTCGAGCAAGCGAGTACGTATGCTTGTGTATGTTTCTCACTATGTACATGTGTCTGATATCGGCAATATATTTTTGAAAAAAAATTGTTCAAAGTCCAAAGTCCATTTAATTGAAAACTTTTTGTTCGAATATGTAGAAAAAGAAGATGCGAAAAGATGACCTAAAAAATTTCTTCTTACTGGAAGCCGACGTTGATGATGACGAAGAGGAAGAAGATGAGGATGATGAGGCAATTTTATCTCAACGTAATATTGATTTTGTCTAAAACTTAAAAGCCTAAAATAAATTTGACATATTAACGAATTCCAATATATTATTTACATTATTTATTAATTCTCATTAACTCTTATTAACATCGTCAGAATTCATTGATAATCGTGATGAGCTTGATGATTTGCCATCTTCTTCCCGCGAATCTCGGCGCGTGGCTATGGAACTTGATCGTAAGGCACTTGAGGCAGAGAATTTAGATGCCGAAGAACTTGCTCAGCAAATGAATGTGCGTTATGGTCGTCGCCGAGGCCATCACATTCAATCTGATTCTAGTATTCCAGTACAATATATTCCAGATGTACATCAACCAAATATGTTTGTTATCAGGTGTAAAGTATGTATTTATTTTATTAGATTTTTAATTGTCTTCAATCACTAAAATCGTTGTTTATAATATTGTAGCCAGGAAAAGAAAAAGATGTTGTTATTCAATTTATGAAACAATTCAAAGAGAGTGAGTACTCTCAACACCCACTCGAAATTTTGTCCGTCACATGTAGAGATGCGTTAAAAGGATATGTATATATTGA